GGTGAGAGATGGAAAGGATTTGTTGAGTTAAGTAATAGGCTAGACGGTTAAGATAAATTGTTTAATAAAAAGTTAGAAAGATGGAAAGAATTTGCTGAAACAACTAATTAAGCTAGAATACAAAAAGGGAGGTGTGAGGAGGTCAAGGAAGCAAGCAAATGAAAGGTAAAGATAGGCAAAAAAAAGGGGGGATTGGTGTTGTTTTTTTGGGGGGGGGTTGTTGGGATGATGTATTGGTTTTTTATGTATTTTTCTTTTTTCCCTTTTTATATATTGTGGTGTTGTTTTTTCTTGTTTTTTCTCTTTTCTTTTTCTCTTTCTTTTTGTAATTTTGAAAATATTAATAAATATCATTTAAAAAAACAAAAACAAAATGAAGCCCTTTCTTATTTCTTGCAGAAGGTGGGTTTTCCCCTTTTCCTTTTTTTTTTGCAGGTAGCAGGTGTGCTTTCCTCATAATGAAGTCACAGCTCCTGCTTCCAAGTGGCTCCTGTATGGCAGAAAGAATGCATGCAAGAAGGTGAGCACACGCGTGAGCGCACATTATTCGCAGCATCTGCCACGAGCAAATAGTCCAATCTGCTTGTCACAGCCAGGAACCTGAAACAAGGGAGGAATTTAATTTTGTTTTGCCATCCTTTGGGCTTGTCGCTTTCATCTTAATTAAGAGCTGCAGTCGCAGCCTCATCGTTCCACTTGCCAAAGTCAGGGGTCTCCTGCCAGGGGTCACTTCACACATGTCCATTCCTCAGCGAGGTCACATCGGTGTGCAAACTCCCTGGTCCTGGTGAATTCCCTATTATTTCACCGGCTCCTCTCTCAATTGTGTGCTTTGCTGGACGCTTCAGGCTACCGGATGGGAAGCACTGTAGCTCAGTCATAGAGCCTTGGCTGTGCATGTGGAACAAGCATGTCTCACATCCCAGCATCTCCAGCTAGGGTAGAATAGGACCCCTGCCTGAAACCCTGGAAAGTCAGCGTAAATGATACCAAGCTCCATCTGCACCCCACGGCAGTCACTTAAGATTTGCCAGTTGTTGAAAACAAAATCTGCCCCTTTTCCCTTATGGGGTATCCAAGAGCCAGCATAGAGTCCTTACATGGGTTCCCTATTGGTAGGAGAAAATAACAGAGGCCAGCCAGAGAATATTGAGAAGCAAAGCAGCTAGTAAGCCTGATCTTTATTGAACTGTTGCAACAGGGTGCTCCCCTCACATGCAGGAGGATGGAGGAGGACCCAGAACCAAGGTTTGCCTGCCCTTGTATACTGTAGACATTTTAAATTCCCTGCCCTAGAGCTCAAGATCACCCCTCCATACATCATACATACATCACAGAAGGGGTGTAATCCAAGACAACCCCCCACAAACATCATACCTACATCACAGAAAAGGTGGTCTACACTCAGAAATTTGAATGTTGTTGTTTTTCCTGTTTGCCAGGTTATCTGATAATGCCTTATCTGATTGACTTTGCTGGTAGTCTGCCCATTGCTTTGAAATGGTGATTACCCAATTCCTGTGACAGGGAAGGTTTTTCCACCTCCTCCCTCCTTGCAGAGAAACATCTGGTCAGCTTGGGAGTCAAAATGGTTTCAGGACTGTCTTCCTGGTCGGCAGTTCGAATCCCCGCAGTGGGGTGCGCTCCCGTTGCTCAGTCCCAGCGCCTGCCAACCTAGCAGTTCGAAAGCACCCCCAGGTGCAAGTAGATAAATAGGGACCGCTTACCAGCGGGAAGGTAAACGGCGTTTCCATGTGCTGCGCTGGCTCGCCAGATGCAGCTTGTCACGCTGGCCACGTGACCCGGAAGTGTCTGCGGACAGCGCTGGCCCCCGGCCTCTTGAGTGAGATGGGCGCACAACCCTAGAGTCTGTCAAGACTGGCCCGTACGGGCAGGGGTACCTTTACCTTTACCTTTAAGACCTTAAAATTCTTATAACACAGTGAGTATCAGTTGATGCTGAAACTAGACCCTGGGACAAAGCCTCTTGTGACTCAAAGACATCTTTTGTGGCCCAAATTCTTCGGGATTCTCTTGCCTCTGAAACCAAGCAAGACCCAGCCTTGCTATGTTTGTGACATATGTCAAAAGTTTCTTTCTTCTCTCAAGACTCTTCACATTAGTGCCCCATTTAATTTCCACTGTTTCGAAGGTCTTATTGGACTTTAAAAAAAAATACTTTCTTATATCTGCCCTGTGTTTTGTAGCCTATTTTTGCACATTATTTGGATATTCTCTGAATGTAAAGCAGTTTAGGAACCACAAAACAGAAACTCAGAAAGAGAGAGAACACACAGTTGCAATTGAAATTAGTCAACCCCCGTTGCAAATCAGGTTTTATCAAAATTTACAGACTTTCGGCTGGAAATGCAACTTATACTGGCATTTGTTTGATTTGCTCATTGCAAACAGCTGAAAGTCTGTAAATTTTTGATAATAAACCTGATTTGCAATGGGGATTGAATAATTTTGATTGCAGCTGTAGATAACATAGGTAGCTAGACAAAAAAGGCCAGTGTTCTAAATTATCATTGCCTATAGTAGCTTCCGCCAGCCTGGTGCCCTTCAGAAGTTGTTGTACTCCAAAAATCCCAACTCTGGAAAGCACCGGCTTGGAGCGGGCCCATTTTCATAGCAGTTCTCCCCGTTCAGGAAACTCCAAGAAAATAAAGGAATATTCAAGACAGTGTGACTCTGGTTTTTACAAATTTATTTATACATAAAAACATAAAATCAAGTCTACATTGGTCACCAGAAATAACATGTAAAAATAAATAAATAAATAAATAACCACCAAGAGCTCAATGGAAGGGGGGGAAAGAAAAGACAGTGATAATATTAATATGTACAGCCTGAATTCTGGCTTCACCCAGGTGAGCCTGGGATGCGCCAGGGAGGCAACATGCTGGCAATGCGGACTATCAGTTTCAAACACGGCATTGGTGCAAAGGCATCAGTCATTAGGGGGTGTTCACATATCACATTCAGTGGGTTTGCCGTCTGGGCACCTGTGTACAGAAGTAGTTGGGCCGTACACTCATACGGTTATTCACATGTGACAATCAATGAATGCAGTGGCGTAGCATCGGTTGCTAGTGCCCAGGGCAAGGTGCAAAAGCGTGTTGTGCCGCAGTTTACCCGTAGCATGCCCACAGGAACCTCCGCAGGTCTGGCCCAGGAGCCAGCATGTGTCCGGCCAAAGCTTGCGTGGCTGCTTCTGTGTCCGCACCGGGCGCTCCAGCGGCACCCTGCTGTGCTGACAGCTGCCTGCTCCTGTACGGGGGCCTTGTTTGGGGGCTCTGCAGTGGCCCCAGGGCAGGAGGGAGCCGAGCAGCAGCAACCCAGCATGACCACCAGCAGCAGGAGCCATGGTGCAAGGAAAGTGTGCCATGCCATCCCGAGGTGCCAAAAGGGACTGGCAGTGAGAGGGGGCTTTGCCCCAGCAGGGGAGGGCCTGCCCGGCTGCCCGCTCTCCACTTGCAGCCCGTCCAGCTGCCCAGGCAACATGCACGCTGCACATTACCGGGCCAGAAAAGGGAGCCACCTCCCTGCCAATCATCTTCAGGACTGCTGCGGCTCAGTTGTGCCCTCCTGAATGTGCACCCGGGGTGGTGTCCCCTGCTGCCCCCCCCCATGTTACACCTCTGAATACGTGAACAGCCTGTGCACCTGTGCACACCAGTAGCTGAGCTGTACAAATAAACACGTGCACACTCTTTCACACAAACACTTGTACAAGTGTAGGGGCAGCCTGTACCTGTGTCCAGCGTAACATGGGAACAAGCCCATTGTCACATTAGACTGGGTGTATGTGTGTGCATGGCTGGTGAGACTTGGGGTTCTCTGTACCCCCCTTAATGCTTCATGGGATTGATACAAAGTCTTACATTTCCAGGATCGCTAATGTAAATTATTTACTTTTCTTGTAGTGCGCTGATATAGGCCACATCCACACCATACATTTAAAGCTCTACGATACTACTTTAAACAGGGATGGCTTCCCCCAAAGAATTCTGGGAGCTGTAGTTTGTTAAGGGTGCTGAGAGTTGTTTGGAGGCCCATATTCCCCTCCCAGAACTACAATTCCCAGAGTGGTTTAACAACCAATCCCTCTTCACAGGGAACAATGGGAATTGGAGCTCTGTGAGGAGAAAAGGGGTCTCCGAATAACTCTGAGCGCTCTTTAACAAACAACACTTCCCATAATTGTCTGGCAGGATCCACGACTGTTTGAAGTGGCAATGAAACCATTTTAAATACATGTCAACGTGGCTGTAGACAAAAGGGAGATGAAGGAGAAATCTGTTTCAGTTTGCGTTATACTAGGGGCTGCCTCTGAGGACGGGATGGAAACTTTGGCTGGTGCAGGCTGCTCACTGGGGCAAGACAGTTTGAGCATTTTACTCAATTACTCAATGCCCGACTTCACTGGCTGCCAATGAATTTCTGGGATCAGTTCAAAGTGCTGGTTTTGACCTCTAAAGCCTTAAATAGCTCAGGACCAAAATGACTTCCCATACGAACAAAGCCAGACCCTGTGGTTGTCTGAGATCCTTCTTTGTGTGATCCTTCTTTGTGTGCTCGCTTCATGAGGGCCCCGGAGAGTGGCAACACAGGAATAGGCCTTTTTTGTGGTGGCTCCCCACCTTCATGACATATCTTCAGATGCCAGGAGAAAATGTTTCTCTATAACCCAGGTCTCTGACTGATTAAACACTCTACGGTCTGATAAATGTATTTGTGGAAGGGAGCTATTGGTTTGTTTTTGTTGTATGATGTATTTTGTGTTCTCATTTTGTATTTTCATGTTGTGAACCGCCCTGTGATCTTTGGATGAAGGGCGGTATACCCATTTGACAAATAAGAACAATAAAAATAATAATTCGAATGTAAACCCACCTTATTCCCAGTTCCTGAAACATGATACAAACAAAAACACAGTTAACTTACAAGTTCACACGTCTCTAATCCCCCCACCTGCAAAAACCACAAGCCCAAAATGTGTACAAAAATGCATACATTATTGGAAAGTGTGGAGTGAAATGCATACATTGGTGAAAATAACATATAAAAATGCATCATACCAGGGGAAATGGCTTGCAAAAAATGTGCATGTATTGTTAGGTGACATGCACACTAAAATACAGATGAATTTTAGCAAGGACCAGTGTTTCGCAAACCTCTGCAGACATGTGGAGAACTGAAGGTATAATGAGAAGCTGCAACTGAAAATCACAGATTCATCCATCCCTAAGTCACAATCAAAGCAATTTGAACAGCAACAGGAAGGACTGGTGGCAAGCTTTGGCACTGTTGGGCTCCTGCTGAGGCCCACACCTGTTAGGGCTCCATTGCTAATCCTCAGAGCTTCCTTGCAATCCTCCTCCGCCTTGAGCAAGGGGCAAAATGAGCAAGGTGGACCAGTACCTTCCACAAACTTGACTCCTCTCGCCTCCTCTCAGAGTTGGTGCATATATGACAGAGGAGGAGAGGCGCATAAAATGAGCAGCGGAAACAGCGAGGAGGAAAGAGGGGTGAAAAAAATATAGGCTTGAGCACCCAGCCCAAGGGCCCCTCAAAATAAGAAAAGGGCATAGATTCCCCATCACAGCATACTTTTAATCCATGCTTACGAAATATTGGCGCAGGGGGAATTCTAGTCCATATTAGAAGTGGTCCAGATGTGGCACGGACATCATTCTTCTGTATCACAGGACAGTTGTGTCTGACTTGTAATGTGTATCAGAGCTGGTGAAGGACAAAATGGCTGCCCCACACCCAGAAAAAACACTGACTGGGCTAGCTGACTGAATGGAAGCTGACTTGAAAGCATGGACACCAACTCTACGGGGCTGAGGACACCTCAGGAAAGTATGTGGGGATGGGGATGAGCTCTCCCCTCACTCTTGAGGGGCCGGGCCTCCTTGGGGCAGGTCTTGCAGCTTCTTCCTGATGCACGTGACATCACATGCGTGTGTCACACATGTGAAGTCACATGCATGTGACAAACCTCCGACCTGCCCAAGTTAGGCAGAACTTGATGCCTCTGCTTGAAAGTGAGGCTTGGAGGACCACATTTGGCCCCAAGGCCCACAAGTTCCCGTCCTCTATTTGAGAGGTACGTCACACATTTATTCCCATTTTAGAGATGAGGGTAGGAAATAGTGCTTATACAAAAGCAATGCCACCACATGCGACTATAGCACCCAGTGCTAGTCTCATTTGCCTAGAAAGTACTGCTCCTTACCTTCATTGGTAAAACGGGACTAATCATGGCGGCCTCTCAAATTTGTTAGGAGGGCAAGCAAAGTAAGACAGCAATGCATCCTCCGAATGAAAAATGCTATGAAAATACTAGTGATGGTGGTTCTAGGTTCACACCCAGGGTGAGAACTTGCACACAAGACTTAAGGCTGTGCTTTACAGCTGGGAACGTGTGCTCTAGAAACAGATCGGCTCTTTATTAAGTGGGGATGGCTTTGGACTCACACATGTGCTAGAGCAACACTTGTAGTAGCAATAGGGCCAGTTTGCTTAGTGGTGTGTTGCGCCAGGTTGTTGGCCTCTATGGGGCGCCCCAGCGAATGGGGGAGCTGCGCGGCTTTGCTGGCGCCCTCCCCTTTCCCTGCACACCAGCCAGCTGTGGCCCAACCATATGGTTGGTGGGTGTGTAGCTTCCCTCCCAAGCCTCTGCGGGGATTGCTCTCCTCCCAAGGAGGCCTGGGAGGGAAGCTGCGCTCTCCTTCTGCGGAGGCTTGGGAGGGGCGCAACTTTACTACCAAGCCGCTGTGAGGATCGTTCTCCTCCCGAGGCAGCTTGGGAGAGGTGCAACTTCACTCCCAAACCTCTGCGCGGATCACTCTCCTGCAGTGGCATGGGGGAGAGTTGTGCCCCCCTCAGATGGCTGGCAGTGTGCAGCTATGGCCACCCCAACACTATCTGCGGTAATTTGGGGGCGCTGGGCAGATATTTGCACCCCAGCGCCGCACCTGCTAAAGGCGGCCCTGATTTCAGTAGTAAACCACCCAGTGGATTCAGATATAAATTGAACCCCGTGGAGAGGGACCTTCCTTGGGCGCAATCTGGGTTCAGCAACAGGGATGTATAAGGGCTCGTTTTCATCTTAGGGCAGGGTGATGTAGCATATTGACCCAAATACAGCCTTCATACAATCCAGGGTGGAGTTTTTGGGGGGAGGGGGAGTGTGTGTGGTTATATTAGGTCACTACAGTATTTTCTCAACAAATACCTGTGTGTTTATCAAGGCATTGCAGTTGTGGGAGGGTGGCACACTTTGAGTCTTGGAGTACAGCTGTGTGTGTGTGAAAAGCAATGCGTGGGGGGGGGGTTAGGGAAATATTTGCACAGAAAGTTAGTGGGTGGAGAAAGGATTAAGTTCTCCCTGTCACGGGTCCTCTCTAGCATAATGTTTATGAAATGTTTATGAACACAGGGTTGGGAGCCTGCATTGTCTCAAGACTTCAGGAAAAGAGGAATGCCATTGTGTTCAGCCTTCTAATTCAAGGCCTCGTACGCTGCTAAAATGCAGAGCTCTAGAAATCACTTGCAAATTAAGATCTGCTTCACACATTACAGGTTAAGCACATATGCAACATGAGTGTGGAGGGACACCATGCTCAAATTGACTATCCACATCTATTTTGTACCATATATGTGGCCAATGACAGCTTCCTGGCATCTCTCCCCACCTCTCATTCTTAAAATTACATGAAGCTCTTAGGTGCTAGTTTTAAAACCAGAAGTCTCTAATCCGTATTGAGGGGGATTTGAAAATGATCAGAGGTAAACTGGAGTCCAACAATTTTTTATAGACAGGAGAAAAGTAATTTCCTATGGACTCCTTGCAATTCTTAATGGCATGAATCCTGATTTTGGAAAGCAAATAGGAACAGAAGGAATACAACAGACTGCGGCCTCATCCTTTAATAACAAGGAAGTGGGAAGAACTGGGGAGATGGCATAGCTGTGGACTTGTTCCCAGTCAGGATGTTTTCCTGCGAATGATCTTCAAGGCAGCTAGAAACCACCACCGGCTTTGCAAGGCTGTTTCTGCTAGTTACAGATGCTACAAAGAATGCCATAGTGACCAGCTGAAGTTCTAACTAAGCATTATTTGAAGATGTGTATAACTAAACCCTGATGGGTGATTTTCTTTACAAAAAGAAAAAGCAGCCAGGGTGGTAGAGGGAGAAGATAAACAATACAACCCTACACATGTCTACTCAGAGGTGATTTCCATTTGAATGGAGAAGTGGCAGAAAAGAGTGGATTCAAGTTGATTCGCTATTAAAAATTTCTGCAGCCTCTTTTCCTCTGCAGAGTTCCAAATACATGCTTGTTAAAAGTCAACACGGTTAGGGAGCAGATGAGGACATGTTTGGAGCAGGGCATTTTAATAAATCATGGCTTTAAGTTGACCTGTTCAAAACAAATCATTGTTGAGATTAACAATGGGTTCTCAGGTTTGGATAATGCACCAAGTTGTAGTCAATTAAAAACAGAAGGGAAAAAAGCCTTCCAATCTCCTTTCTAAGACTCAGTGTGTCTCATTCCCACCACAATAAACCATAGTTTACTGTGGCACCTAAACACAAAAAATGTCAACTCATAAAAACTCAAGGTCAGGGAAGGGAGCCCAATGTCTCAAAAGAAAATGGAAATCATGATCAAAGAAAGAAGGGTAAAAATATATTATTATAATAATAACCTGCTGCAAACTCCTGTCATTGTTTTTTGTGTTCTCCGATATGAAGACCACAACGACTAATTTACCTGGCCGCACAGTTAGGGTCATGTGTTTATTTTAAAGCACTAGTAGAGTTGCTGTCATTGCTGCTTTCAGTATTACATAATCACCATTCAGATTTGAAATGCTCAAATCATCATCCCCATTGGCAGTGAGACTGTGGGAATGAATGTGTTCTCAAGAAGACTTCAAAATATTTGTACACAATCAGCTCAAACCACTGGTGCGGATGGGGGACAAGGAAGGGAACTGGTGAGATCAAATTCTTTTACATGACAAATTATTGCTCTCTTTTGGAAGTTTCTGCTTGTAGATGCGGTGGAGCGTGGAAGCAGACAAACAAGGCTTCTTTAAGCCACCTGCTAAGTTTCCTAAACTGTCGGTGCAGCCAAAGATCTTAATGTGCTGTGACCAAAAGCTAGGGGAGCAAGGGGTAACGGGAAATATGTGAAGGGAACACCCGCTGCCTCTTTTATAGTTAATCCCTCGTTCCATTACTTATGGAAGGAAAATACTACAGGCACTACACTTTTAGAAAAATAAAATAAAATTGCACCTGGTGATCCAAACACAGGCCACCTCCACACTGTCAGTATTCTGCAGGAGCACAACTGAAATTTAGGATTGCACAATTAAAGTTGATTAAAGCACTCAGTCGCCCGAGTGTAACACATCTACTTAAACACCCACCCACCTCACCAAACTGACTTTTTGTAGTTGGGAAAGTGATGGGGAGATGTGCTGGCAAATGTGGGATGAACAAACAATTATTACCACCAAATCAGGATGAATTAAGGACCAATGCTAATCGTTGTATAATCTCCTGGCAAAGAAATCAGAATGAATGTTCGAATGAAGACCAGACATAGCCTAACTTCTGTTTAGGCACAAATCATGAGGGGATGCTCAATAAACAGGTCATCTGGAGGAGCTGAGCTAAGCCTTTGGGGCAAATGCAAAATTGTACTGGAGGTGTTCTGCCCTCTCACAAAAGATGCCTTTGAGGCTTAAATAGGAAAACAGGCTCCCAGTTTAATGAGGTCTGCCAACAGCTGGTCCCCTGCCCTTAGGTGAGGTAGATGGAGGGGAGGAGAAAGACAGGAGGCAGGCACTGGGGAAAGTTGATCGGATCAGCAGGATATGGCAAGCAGGCTACACCAAGCCCCTCCCACTCAGAGGTAATTAACCCCATGGGGTCACTGGTGGTCCACCAGGGAGCAGGCTGGTTTTGAGGCTGCAATTAACAATGCAAATTCTGCTAATCAGAAACATATGTGCATAAACCCAATTAGCTGGCTGGGAGGCAGGCAGAGAAGAGGGGACGGTAACACTGTCAGGGCTTCGTGTTCACAAGCCCAAGAGTGATTCTTTTAATCACCACTGCAGGCTGAGAGTGATCTGCGGAGCTTTTCCCCACAGAGGAGGAATGGAGGAAGCATTCTATCTCAAGCCGGACTGGCATCCTTTCTATTCCTCCAGAAAGTCGAATGAGGTGGGACATACCATGCAGGGCTGCACCCTGCAAGAAGTTTGCTGTACGTTTCACAGCAGCAACTAGGGATGGAGGTGGAATTCAATTTAGTTCACATTTAAAAGGTAGCCTACCTAGTTTGCACTTTTATAAAAGAATAGGTGAACTGAGATACAGCCTGCCCTGTGTCGCCCTGGCAACCGGCAGGCTCTTTCCACAGCCAGTGGGGCAGAAGCAGGTTCTCTGCTAGCTTGTAGTTGGTTGGTTTGGGGCTCTCTTGGGACGATGAGCTCCATACAAAGGCAGAGAACTTACAAGCGCCTGTCTGGAACAGGTGCTGCTTTGGATTGTTAACTGATCAATTCTTTTGCCCCTGAGAAGAAGAGAGTTTTAAACCTTTCGATCCAACTGTTTGTGTTCCAGAATTACTACTTTAAGAACTCCACTTTGCTGTACCACTCTGGCCTAGTCCTTCCTCTGTCCTATTCCATCTGCATTTCACAGCTCCTGGGGTGTCTCACTAAAGGAAGGGGGTGGTTTCGTGTGGGTTCAAAATACCCTTTGAAGGTCACACCTGCACCCTTCATTTAAAGCTGCATCATCCCATTTTAAGCAAGCATAGCTTCCTCCCAAGAATCATGGAAACTTTAGTATGTTATGGGTGATCAGAGTTGTTAGGAAACGCCCTATTCCCCTCAAAGAGTTATAATTACGGGAGTTCACCAGGAAGAAGGGCTGATTGTTAAATCACTCTGAGAACGGTAGCTGTGCAGGGGGAATAGGTGTCTCTCAATAACTCTCAGAAACCCTTAACTACAGCTTCGAAGATTCTTTGGGGAGAACTATGACTGTTTAAAAGGCGCAATACTGTTAGAAATAGTGCAGACTGAACCCTATTGGCAAAACAGAGGACAGGTAATGCGGACGGTAAACACGAGATATTTGCCAAAAACAAGCCTTCCCAAAAACTCCATAAAAATATTCACATTTTCGATAACTGAATATAAACATTCCCATTCAACACACACACCATTTCAGTTCCCACTCCCACATTAAATAAAAATAGACCTCTCTCTCAGCTTTTACTTGCTCATGGAAGAGGCAATGCCAAGCAATGACAAGGAAGATCTGGTGGCTGATTTGCCAGTTTATGGCTTCTAGTAGCCTAGAACACTAGCCCATTATTTTGGACCGGAGAAGTATGCTGGAGAAAGAGGGTTCTCCACAGGCAACCAGTGGAACAGGGTTGTTCTCTCCCAGATGAGAAAACACATAAATGCCTTACATTCCATCTGATCCCCAAGTATCTCAGAATCCTATTGCTATCCTCTCTGAGGAAAAGGACAAGATATATTCTTGTCTCTGTATTCCATGTATAGAAGCTGACGGGCAGGCAACTGAATTTTGCTTCAACTATGGTGTCTTCCACCACACCTGAGGGCAACAGGGCACCTTAGGAGCTGCAGGACAGGCTGCCTGGCACACACAGCTCTCCACCACTCCTGGCCCCCTCAGCATCTGCAACCTGAGGCAGATCCCTCACATTGCCTAATAGTAGGGCCGGCCCTGACCACTTACGTATCCCTGGTCAATAAGAATTTGCAGGATATTCTTGACAGCCTGTGATGACGGACTCTAACAAAGGAACAAGTGGCCAAATCCTGCACTTTCCCCCTAAAAATGTCTTCTCACATGGCAACAGAGAGGCTTGCGGAGCATGAACAGGCCTCATCCCATAGTTTAGTGGCTGCAGGAGAGCTATAATGGCATTTGCTATGGCTGGCACTCCAGTAGCCCTTGGGAACTGATATCTGGGTCATGGGCAAGAAGCAGCCACCTGTGGTAATTGGCATGGAGATTATTGCATATTCTCCACTGAAAGCAGCTGCTGCTTTGATTCTATCCTGACAGAATGGTCGACTGGTAAGGCCCCCCTCCCCCACTTCCCTTTTTTATTTTTCACTGGGATGCTCTAGTCGGGACAGCGCTCCCAGAAGGATGCATTGGGCATGACAGGGTTGGGGTTGGTGCCTCACACCATTAACATATGGCAGGACAACAGCTGGCGATCCATTTTGGCCAGGCAAAGGACCTCAACCAAGAAAACAGGTGGTTCTCCTGGACTGTACACACACAATCTCCTCCCCCCCAGTTGAAAGACGCATCTCCTCTCCAGAGCGGGCAAGACGACGCAGAACCCTTCAGATTTCAGTGGCAATGATGTCCTCATAAGGGACATCAGTTCCATGGAGGTCAAGGTCTAAAGGCTCTTTGCCATCCTCCCCTGAGGCCAGCTGCTGGAGCATCTTCTCCAGGTTCTGGTTCCGTTTGTACATGTGCAGGTAGCTCTGCTGCAGCTGCTTCTGGTAGTGGATGACTTTCTCCTTCTCCTCCTTCCAGGTCTGCCGCTCCTGTTGGAAGCCGGCCGTCATCTGCTGGTTGCTATCCTGAGCCTCCCCCAGCTCGGCCTTCAGCTTCTCCACTTCCCGCCATAGGGCTTGCGCTTCCTCCGTCATGCTCCCCTCCAGGCCCGCGGAGGCCGCCCCACACTTCATCTGCTCCCTGAGGATGGTGAGTTCCGTCCGCAGCTCTGCGATCTCCTGCTCCAGCAGGTTCACCTTCTCCCTCAGAAGCTCCGACTCGTTCTTCTTGCGCTGGAGCTCGTTCTCGCACACCTCCAGCTCCATAGCCTTGGCGCGCAGGGAATCTTCCAGGTCCTGGATTTTCATATCTAGCAATTCCATCTTTGCCCGGACGTCCTTCAGCTGAGCTTTCAGGTTGAGGACCTCGTTGGTCTTGCTGTTGAGCTCTGTCTGGGATTCCTTCAGCTGCTGCTTCAGGAGAGAGATTTCACCAGACTTCTGGCACACCTGGAGGGAAATATGACAACAACAGCCAGGGTGTCATCCACGAATGAGGCCAAAGCTATGGTGCAACTAAGTTTAGTGTGGACAAGCAGTGATTATGGTATACATGAGAATAGATTAGACCAGGGTGGGGAACTTCAGGTCCAGAGGCAGCCTTCCTGGCCTCTCCAGCTGGCCATAAAATCACCTCCCAGAAAAGCCCCCAAGAACCGCGCTCCCTTTAAAGAGCGCACGGTTCTTGCGGGAGACGGGGGAAGGTACAGAGGGCAGCATAACTGTGCACAGCCTCTTCCAGGCAGGGGGAGCCTTCATCCCGCTGCCCGGGAGAGGCTTCAGCGGCTATCCCAGAAGCCAGATCCCTCTTGCTGTTCTGGCTTCTGGGATTGAGAATTTATTTTTTCTTGTTACCTCCCCCCCAAACTAGGTGCGTCTTATCTGGTGCGTCCTATAGAGCGAAAAATGTGGTAATTAATTCAACCCCTCCTTAAAATCAACCTTTTTTGGAGAAGCCTTTGGCACAACTGCCTAGTTCTCTGTCTTGCTATAACTCAGCCTAAGCATGCGTAAGGGCATGGCCACATGTTGCTTCTCTGTTAACCCCTGCCTCTGTTTCTCTCCTCTTCTAGGTTGAAGTTTGTAAGCTCCTGGGGGCAGGGACCTTCCCTCTTGAACTCTGTAAAGCACCGTGCATTGAGATGGTGCTAAACAACTAGCTCTTTGTTGAATTATGAACCTCTAGTGCTCTCCCGATTTTTGTTCCAATGCAATTAAATGTGGTATAAACATAGAAATATTTCATTCCAAAAAAGTAACCAGCAAACTTCCAGCACACCCACTGAAGTTAATGGACCCAAGTTAGTCATGTCCATAAATTTCAGTGAGTCAACCATGACTTCTGTTGGTTTCAACCCAATGAAAGTGATGGTGATGATGATAATGAATATTACATCAACGAAAGAACTGACAATGTTTCCTACAATTCTTTTTATGACTGTGACATACCAAAGGGTGTAGCTGCATAACAGGAAGAGGTCCTTTCATTGGCTCAGGCCAGCCCATTTAGATGAAACTTATGGGAGCACCATTTTGGTACGTACGTGTCAGGGGACTGCCATTGGAACAGGGAAGGGAGGCAGAGAGGCCATTGGGATACAGGGAGCCTCCAAAAATCTTGCGAAGCAGTTCCTCTTCCTTGCAATGGGGAAAGCCACACCACCAGAGGGGAGGAGAGGAAGGGACCAGGGGATGCTGCTGGAAGCCCCAGTGCCGCACCTCGTCAGTCTGAGGGTAGGGGAAGCCACACCTCCGGGATAAAGGAGGGGAGGGGGCTAGAGGATGCTGCGGGGAGCCTCAGCACCGCTCCTGGTCAAGCCGGCCAGGAGGGAAACACGCCTCATCCGTCACCCACCTTGCGCAGAGGAGTAAAACGCAAAGAAGGAAGGAAACAGCTGGGGTGACTAAGTTCTTATGAGGGGCAGACCTGGAAAGAGCCACTCCCGGATTCTGCTAGCAGTTTAGGCAGACATGAACTGATGGTTCTGCACTGTAAATAGTTTTTGCACCAAAATACAACCTGTTAAAGACAGGTCGGAGTCCTGCCTGGTTACTCACGAGCAACCACCACTGACATCTGACAATGCGCTTGCCTGACTTGTGGTGGCAACACATCCTTTACTCCCTCTGTGTACCCATGTACAACACATTCCCACCCCATCGCGGTGCAAGCTTTTTCCTATTAGGATGGAGCTGGGCCTCACCTCCCACTGAGTCTCCTCCAGCGCTGGGGCAAAGTTGGTCTTTTCCTTCTCATAGGACCTCAGCTTGGCCTCTAGGAGGTCCTGCTCCTTCATCAGGTTGGCCAGTTCCTCCCGAAGCTGCTGCTTCTCCTGCTGCAGCTGGAAGACTTGCAGCTGCAGCAGCTGCTGGGTCCTGTGGCTCTTCTGTGACGCCTGCTTGAGCCTGCTGTTGCATTTTTGCTTCAGCCCTTCCATCTCCTCCCTGCAGCGCCTCTGCTTTTCCTCGTAGCTTTGGCAGGAGGTGATCTCCTTCTCCTCAAAGCTGCACTGCAGCTCCTGAAGCTCCCCCTCCCTCTCCAGAAGCTTCTGCTCCAGCTCCTGGATGGCCGACTCCTCCGTTGAGATGGGCGAGCGGACGCAGGAGTTCTTCTCGCCCGGGTGGGGAGCGGCAGACATTTTGCCAGGGTTCAGGATCTTGGTGCCCCCATCCGAGAAGGACAAGGCCTTCAGGCTCATCATGTTACTGTCCTGCAGGATGGCGCACTGAGTGATGTTCAGGGCAGAGCCCCCAAATCGGCTGATGGGTCCCACGGGAGCGACAAGGGGGTCCAACTGGTAGCTGCTGGCTGTACTGTGCGTGGGGAGGCTAGACATGGAGTTTCTTCCTGAGTCTGACAGTCCTCCGGAGCACAGAGCAGGCTTGGCGTCCAGATCCTTGGCTTTCTCCTGCGATTGGAGCTTCTGGGGAACATGGTTGCCGTGCTCTGGAGAGGAGTGGAGGACTGTGCTGGAGCGAGGGAGCACAGGCTTGAAGGCTGTGGGCCTCGTAGCACTCTTGTCAGTGGCCTGCGGGGAAAAAGAAACTGGGTAATTACTGGGGGTACAGGAACTGGCAAAGGTGACAGAGACAGCCAAACCAAAAGTTCAAAAAGGAGTGAGAAATTTATAAAGTGCCCTCAAATTAAAACCTGGACATGCTTTGATTAATTTTCACAAACCACAATATGGATTATAAGTATAGTATTCAGATAACAGAAGAAAGGGCAGAATGATTAAAGAAGCAGTTTATTAAACAGATAAGACAGACCTGCTTTGAGGAAGACAAAAGCCTATTGGGGAAGATAAGGAATTGGGAATTAAGAATATGGTGGCATAAGTTTTTTTGAAAGAACCTATGGATTTATGGATGTATTTTTGTGTTATTATTTTATCATTTTTGTTAATTTCTTGAGTGTGTTTGTTAAGTAAAAATACTAATAAAAAGCATATTAATTTTTTTTACTGGGGGTACAGGAGTTTCCAACACTTGGTCCTTTTTCACCTATGCCAGAGAAAAGGCGTCGCTGGGGCGATGGGGATGGGACAGCCACCTTAAAACTATTTGCTCAATGCAGATCTGATTTGGCATGTTTATTTGACATATTTAGCAAGGGAAACTTTTCAAAAGAATATACTGTGTGTGTTGGTTTTCTCTCTCTGCTGTGTATCTGAAATATTTTCCTTCTTTTTTGTGCATTTCTTGTTTCCTTTTTATTTTTTCCACTTTATTTTGTTTAACTGAAACATTTCCAATGAAATATGAGAATTAAGAGGAAAGGAAATATTTTTCTAATAGCTCAAAGAAGTTAAACCGAAATATTTAGTAGTGGAGAATTCGATAAAATGTGCACAGTATGACACGACTGATTGCTTGATTGCTTTTAAATGGAAAATAGTTTTCAGATCAAGGTCCACATTCCTTTCTGGGCAATGATCCAAGGGCCACATGCCAGTAGCGGGTGAAATTTTGCCTTTGTGTACTAGACTAGTCTCTACAGGCACTCGCACCCACCTCTCTGTTCTCTGTTCTCCATCAAATCAAGCTAGAGGCATTATCAGAGTTCAAGAGCACGTCCCACATAGGCCAAAACATTGGGGGGGGGGTGTTAAACCAGGCCCATTGAGGTGCATGACCTGAGAAGAATTCGAAGGGCATGGAAGGGCCCCTGGACCTGAGGTTTCTCAGCCCTGTTTGAATGCTACATGCTACATTCAAACAACTGCAAAGCTCTACTTAGGAACTCTAATGATCTGAATTCTTGTAAATAAATACAGTGGTACCTCTGGATCCATTCCGGAGGCCCGTTTGCAACATTAAAAGAGCGCAACTCGCAGCGGCATGTATGCACATGCGTGGATTGAGATTCGCCACTTGTGAACATGCGTGTGACGTCATTTTGTGCTTCTGTGCAAGCGGCGAAACCCAGAAGTAACCCTTTCCAGTACTTCCGGGTCGCCGCAGGATGTAACGTGAAAGAACGTAACATGAAGCGGACGTAACATGAGGTATGACTGTAAAGGCATGACAGTCCCACAGCGTGCAGTTCCCTTCCACAGTACAGATCTTAAGGGAAACACTAAAGGCACAGGACGGATGCGGGTGGCGCTGTGGGTTAAACCACATAGCCTAGGACTTGCCGATCAGAAGGTCGGCGGTTCGAATCCACGCGACGGGGTGAGCTCCAGTTGCTTGGTCCCTGCTGCTGCCAACCTAGCAGTTCGAAAGCACGTCAAAGTGCAAGTAGATAAATAGGTACCGCTCTGGCGGGAAGGTAAACGGTGTTTCCGTGCGCTGCTCTGGTTCGCCAGAAGCGGCTTAGTCATGCTGGCCACATGACCTGGAAGCTGTACACTGGCTCCCTCGGCCAATAAAGCGAGATGAGCACCGCAACCCCAGAGTCGGCCACGACTGGACCTAATGGTCAGGGGTCCCCTTTACCTTTTAAAGACACAGGGTTAGCTGGAGGAGGGGCTCAGTCTGGCTGTCTTCTCCCCGGAAGGGAGTTGCAAGTCTGGCAAGGAATGGCTGTGAGCTGCCCTGCCTGCTGCTGGTGTTGTTGTTGTGGGCACCAGGGATCTGCAAGCGGATTCACTCCTCAGTTGCAGGATGAAAGACAGTGGAGGGGCAAGGAGATGGGGAGCTACAAAAGAGCAGCCAATAAAAAAGAAGAGGAACAGTAGAGGACTAAGAGAAGAGATGTGGAGTGTACGGGAAGGGGTGAGAAAGGTAGTCCCTAAGCAAAAGCAGAATGGAGGTGGGGAAGGCAAAGGGTGCAGTTTTTGGCAGTAATGCTTGTGAATATCAGTTGCTGGAAGCTACAGGAGGAGAGAGGGCTCAGATCCTGCTTGCACATTTTCTACAGGCATCTGGTGGGCTGCTGTGAGAACAGGATGCTGGACCAGATAAGCCACTGGCCTAAGTTCTTACAACAGTGTGGTAAGGAATGAGCCAATACGGAAAGCCTCAAAGATGCAATACAAAGGAGAGAGGGCAATACAGAGAAAGGAAAGAGTGCAGGCATGGGGATCGGAGGGGGTGGTGCTTTAAGAGAGAAGAACAAGAGAAAATAGCTCGAGTCCTGCTGGATCTGGCCAAAGGCCCACCTAGTCCAGCAGCCAACCAGTTGCCTTTGGGAAAACCCAAAGCAGGGCCTGAGGGCAACAGGGCTCTGCTAACTTGCAGTTTCCACCAATTCCTAGCATTCTAAGAGAAGAGGCAGAACATAGCCATTTGCTGCTGACTGCAGGCATCAGCCCCGGCACAGAAACCAGCAGGCATGGTGGGACACCATGTCAGTTGATTAAATCTTCCGTTTGGTGGTGGTGGTTTTTAAAAACAGATTTAAGGTACACAAGGTCAACACTTTGCTGAAACTAAGCAGGTCTGGGTCTGGTCAGCGGCCGGATGGGTGGCAGCCTAGAAAGAATATTTATGCCACCTTGCATTCCACAATAGAAGAAAGGCAGTACAGTGGTACCTTAGGTTAAGAACTTAATTCGTTCTGGAGGTCCGTTCCTAAATTTGAAACTGTTCTTAACTTGAGGTACCACTTTAGCTAATGGGGCCTCCCACTGCCGCTGCGCCGCCAGAGCATGATTTCTGTTCTCATCCTGAAGCAAAGTTCTTAACTCGAGGTACTATTTCTGGGTTAGCAGAGTCTGTAACCTGAAGCCTCTGTAACCTGAAGTGTCTGTAACCCGAGGTACCACTGTACAAAGGTAAGGATGAATCAATAAATAAAACCAACCATGTGTTGTCGTCAACCATTAGTTAACTTAATTCACTGATCAGCTGGGTGGGTCAGCCCCCAATGCACTGGGTCATGGGTCCCAACAGCAGCAGCACCACCACCATATAAATATAGGGTAACTCCCCACCCCCCAAAATGCATTTTGCAATTAAAGATGGGTCCTGGATCTGAACATATTGAGGCCTACTTATCTGAAGGTTGATTGTGCATGTTTGCAAGCACAAATTGTACTACTACTCAACCAGACCACATCTTTACACAAGGATGTAAGAAAAGGTTGGCTGGATCTCTCCAATAATTTATTTAGTCCAGCTTCCTCTTTTGCCACAGTAGCCAACCGGAAGCCCCTAAGAAAGACATCAGGGTAACGGACATCTTTTCTTTCCCTGTGTCAGAGCCTTGGTTCAGAGGCAGGGCCCCTCTAAATGACCAGTTCTTGGGGGAGAACTGTGGGAGACAGCGACTGCCCTTGTGTCCAACTTGTGGGCTTCCCCAAGACATCTAGTTGGCTACTGTGGAAAACACGATGCTGGGCGGAACAGGCCTTTGGCCTGATCCACCAGCGTTCTTCTTCAGTTAGCACAAGTGAGATCTTTTGGTATACACTGGCCAGGTTTCATGCAACTCACTAGTTCTATCTGGTTGGAGACTGGCTTCAGTTTGGGTGGTGTCGGGGTGCCATAGTCCACGCTGCTCCTCCCAGCCTGGCCTCCCAGCTCCCCCCCAGACAGCGGGGTGTAGTCCGTCCGGTGAGCCTTCTGGTTGACCTTGATGTAAAAAAAGTCCTCATTCTTGTTGCCCTTGGAGCTGGACTTATTGTGAACAGTTTCCTGAGAGAAGCCAAATTTCAACAGTCCGTCTGAGTATCTGTTCAGCTTCTTCAGGTGGGAAGACTTGCGCAGCTTGTACTGGGATGCCCGGCAGTGTTTGCTATGGAAGCTGTGGCCTGAGATGAGGCTACTGACACTTCCCATGATGGTCCTGGGTGGAGGGCATGCACAGAAGGGAGGGCACCCTGGGTGGGTCTTCTAAGAGAATGTCCTCACTGTCGGGAGAGAAGGCTGGTGTTGTGGTCATAGCAGAAGCCTTGCTGTGCCAAGGAGCAATAAACCTGAGAAAAGGTGAGAAAGAAATGAGGATTGGTGAGAATGGGTCAAGGTGCCTAACATAAGTCCGCTCAGAAAACAGTCACAATGGATATGGAGGAAACTTAAATCCAAGTCCCACCTCTGTCATTGACACATCATATGGTGTTGGGTAAGTCACCATATCTCAGACTTGGCATCCCAACTGATAAATGAGAGTGGCAAACCCCAGAACCCCACTTCCTGTTGGAAAGACGCCAATGAGGAAGAGATACAGGGTGCCCCACAAAGTAGGGAAACTTTAACGTCTCCTCCCAACCTCCTCAGGAACATGGTCCCTTTGCCTTCCTCAGACTCTGAGTATGAATACCCAGTGGTGTCTTCCCTGCCACACAGAAGCCAGTGGTTGTGGAACTGGGCAAAGACCACTGTCAGCTCTGTCAGTATGGTGCTGCCAATCGCAGAACATGCATTGCTTTTGATAAACTTGAGATCTTGGCTGAAGCAACATCCCTTTGTGATTTAGAATGTGCAGGGAGCAACAGCCAACTTACTGGGAGCTCTCCATGGTCCTGAAAAGGCCAGCCAGAATTTAAACAAACTGTGTAAAGTCAAGATATATAAGGAGTAACCAATTTTTTTGCCCTCTAGCCAACATATTTGATAGTCAGGGGTGATGGGAAGTGTCCATCAGCACCTGCAGGGCAAAACATTGCCTTTTTAAAAAGCGTTATGCAAACCAAAGCACAGCCATCCTTAGAAACTGATTTTTCTCTGATTTTTGTAATAACGTTCTCCAACCAGGCAATGTGCACAAAAATACACATATTTGTGAAAATAACACACAAAAATGTGGTTTTAGAGGAAATTGCTTTGAAAATGTGTGTATCTTAGGCAAAGGTGCATTAAAAAGTGGATATTAGGACCAAAAACATAAGACTTGAAAAATGAGAAACTAAGAGGAACCAAAACTGACAGATTTGCCCATCACACGTTCTGGGCAACAAACTCCAATGAACAGCCTGGTGCTGGTAGAGATCCACTCCCTTCCCTTCCCCTCCCGTCCCCTCCCCCTGAATCAAAGCTTCATAAACAAAGCTCCAGAGTGAAGCTTAGCCACGGTAGTTTCAACTTTATTCCCAAATAAGTCCCTTGCTCTGCGCTTCCCCTACAACATTCAGCACTTTTTGATCTGCTCCAACATGGATGGTGCTGCTGTTCTTAATTACAACTCTTGTCTTGTATACCATTCTCAAAGGCACAGGGTGTCACTGCCGTCATTACAGCTCAGTGCTGGTACCCTATATATTACCCCTTTCCCTGGGGCTTTAAAGCCCCTCAATCAACCCGGTATGCCTTCGATCATCAGCTGGTGAGGGAAAGAAGGAAATGCTTTCCTGGTGCACACCTAAAGGTTAAGGAGGGTGGTGCAGAGTTGCAGGTGGGTCAAAATCAGCACAGGATCAAAATGACCTCCATCCAGGTGCGTTGCAGAAGGGGAGGGGGTGGAAAGGGGGGGCGTGTTTTGGAGGCTGATTCATTGCAGCAGGGAGATGGAACGGAAGCTGCTCCAATCGCTGCTGCTCACTAAAAACCACTAAAAGCTTTTCTGCTCTCCATACTGTGGGCGTTAGGGAGGCTGTCTTCATCACCACTGAGCCTTGTTTCTGCTTTCTCTCTCCCCACACACAACTTTGGAATGTAGACAAAATGGCAGTACAAAAGAAAATCCGCCCCCCTTTCCTTCCACCACTGTCCCCCACCCCGCTGCCAGCATCCCACCCAAATATATATATATTTACAAGTCTTGTAGGCCTGTTGCAGCTGCAGAAGTCTGTGTGGGGAGGATAAAGTTTGCAGAGGAAGCTGGAAAGGGCGGCTGTGACTGATGGCAGAAAAATATCATCGGGAAGAGGAAACTGCAGAACAGAGACCCCTCCTGCTTGCTCACTTTTCGACCTGGTTTTTGTTCGCCACCTTCCCACTTCTCTGCTCCTCTTAACATGTTCACAGGGGATTGGGGAGGCTGCCTCAAGATAGGCGGTCCATCCAATTCAGTTTTCTTCTTCTACACTAGGGGTAGCTAATGTACCAAACTCCCATCAAGCCCAACCACCACTGCAAGGAAGCTGCATTATGTCAGACTACACTGCCTGGCAGTGGCTCTCCAGGACTGCAGGCAGGAGCCTTTCCCAACCCCAGCTGGAGATACCTGCAGGGATTGAACCTAGGACCTCCTCTTTGCAGGGCAGATGCTCTGCCACTGAACTGTGGCTCTTCCCAGCACTTTCGTCCTGCAACCAGCAGGTTGGCCCTGGTCAACACAAACCGTAAAGATTTCAGGCAGGCGCTACCTTCACATACCAAGGACTTAACTTGGGACCTTCTGCTGGAAAACAGATGCTCTACCTCTGATCTGCAGCCCTTTCCCTTAAAGCTACAGTCGTTCACTAGAATGGACAGTGATGGCTTCAGGTTCTGAGAAGTCCCCAGGTGGGCTTCCTGTTTAGGGAAAGGGGAAAGGCTCTCTACCTGAAATCCTGGAATGTGAAGGCCAGCCAGTGTACACAATACTCAGGTGGATGTGCCAAAAGGCTCTCCAAGGCAACACTCCTATTCTTCCCTCTGGGTCCAAGCCACCCAAATAGGCAGAGCACAAAGAAAGTAGAAGATGGGGTGTCCATCTCCTCACTGCTTACATTATTGATTTTTTAATTTATTATTATTTCGGTCACAGACCAGTTCCAGCCCACATACAATATCAAGGAAATCATAAAACACGATAGGGATACATTTGAATTTGCAATTAGGTATAACAGGGACAATACAGATATAGTAAAGGTAAAGGTACCCCTGCCCATACGGGCCAGTCTTGACAGACTCTAGGGTTGTGCGCCCATCTCACTCTATAGGCCAGGAGCCAGCGCTGTCCGCAGACACTTCCGGGTCACATGGCCAGCGTGACAAGCTGCATCTGGCGAGCCAGCGCAGCACACGGAAACGCCGTTTACCTTCCCGCCAGTAAGCGGTCCCTATTTATCTACTTGCACCCGGGGGTGCTTTCGAACTGCTAGGTTGGCAGGCGCTGGGACCGAGCAACGGGAGCGCACCCCGCCGCGGGGATTCGAACCGCCGACCTTTCGATCGGCAAGTCCTAGGCGCTGAGGCTTTAACCCACAGCGCCACCCGCGTCCCAGATATAGATATATAGATATACAGATATAGAAACAGTTAAAATATATATAAATTAAAACTGAGTCACTAACATATAACCTAAAATTATCATTTAAGGCCTTAATCATTATGATAGCACAGCTTGTTCCCTAAGTTTTATGGCAATCGCACAGAATTTGGCTACCCTTAACGTGATCTCACAATCCTTCTCCTCTACCAGGGATTTTAGCCATTGAAGTTCGCTGCTTACATCATCATCATCATCATCATTATTATTTGAATTTATATACTGCCTATATCCAGAGGTCTCAGGGTGGTTCACAGAAGAAAATCAAAATATAAAACCACAAAATACATAATCAAAATAAAAACAACAACCCAATACCCCCCCAAAAAAACCCCACCCACATTTTAAAAGGGCATAGGATGTAAGTCAGATCAACCAAATGTCTGGTTAAAAAGAAACGTTTTTGCCTGGCGCCTAAAGATGTATAATGAAGGCACCAGGTGAACTTCCCTGAGGAGAGCATTTCACAGACGGGGAGTCACTGCAGAGAAGGCCTGTTCTCGTTTTGCCACCCTCCAGACCTCTCAAGGAGGAGGCACACGAGGGGGGGCTCAGAAGATTATTTCAGGGTCTGGGGAGGTTCATATGGGAAAAGGTGGTCCTTGAGGTACTGTGGTCCTGAGCTGTTTAAGGCTTTATAGGTCAAAACCATCACTTTGAATTGGGCCCAGAAACTAATTGGTAGCCAATGCAGTTGGATAAGGATCGGTGTAATATGCTCAAAGTGTCATGCTCCAGTGAGCAACCTGGTTGCTGAATTCTGCATTAGCTGAAGTTTCTGAACCGTCTTCAGCCCTACATATCACACATTGCAGTAATCTAACCTTGAGGTTACCAGAGCATAGACAACAGAAGTTAGGCTATCCCTGTCCACATAGGGGCATAGTTGGGCCACCAACCGAAGCTGATGGAAGGCACTCCAGGCCCTTGTAGAGGGCAGGTGAAAAAGTAGTAACAGCAAGGGCAGCAGTGGAGGTGGCCTCAGCAGGTACCCAAGGATGCCTATTTCCCATGTGTCATTCTTAATCAAGACATTGGCTCTAGTAGACTTTACTTTGGATCCAGCATTTGACAGATGACATGCTCAAACCAAGGATCACTGCGCCCAAGGCATGCAAGCATGAAAACATGCATCCCCTGTGGTGGCTGTCAATGGCTACTAGATGCAATGGCTATATTTCCCTCTGAATACCTGTTGGCTCCTCACAGGCAGGGAGTACCTGCATTAGAAAATCAGGTATCTATGCTAATCGCCAAACGGCACCTTAAATCCAGGTTATGGTCGTCAAAACTGAATGTCCAGGTGCCTTTTTTTGCAGTAACATTCATTGTTGTTTTTATTATTCATTTCTAGACCACTTTATATTTCAATGGGAAAAAAATCTCAAAATGGTTTGCAACACATTAAATCAAATAAAACAATCCAGAATAAAACAAATTCAAGCTTTAAGGAAAATGTCCTTCTTTGAGTAGCATTTTGCTTTCCCCATATTTATTCCCCATATGTATTTACAGTAAAGGTAAAGGTAAAGGGACCCCTAACCATTAGGTCCAGTCGTGAATGACTCTGGGGTTGCGGCGCTCATCTCGCTTTATTTTATGACTCATCTTGCTTTATTGGCCAAGGGAGCTGGCGTACAACTTCCGAGTCATGCGGCCAGCAAGACTAAACCACTTCTGGCAAACCAGAGCAGCGCACGGAAACGCCGTTTACCTTCCTGCCAAAGCGGTACCTATTATCTACATCCACTTTGACGTGCTTTCGAACTGCTAGGTTGGCAGGAG